AATAAGAATGAAAGTTGTTCAACAAGATGTGCTCCTTTGGTCGGGTTTGAGAGAGTTAAATGTTTTACTCCAAAAAAAAAAAGAGGGAGGAACCATCCTTCAAAATTAACACCGAGCTTACCCAGGAGAGGTTTGATTCAACTCAGCAGTTGACAAAGTAATTGTTATCAGCGAGACCTGACGAGTCATCTCCAAGCTACTCAAGCATACATAAGAGGTAAATCAACTGACTGACTGAAGCACATAAAGGAGGACTGGAAGCAAGAACAACGTGAACTTACGGTTGTAGACCCTCTTCAAGGGGCTCATATGCATCAGTTATGGTAGTTGAGCTGATAGATGTATCTTGATGCAACCCAGGAATTCTCTTCTGTTTCACACATGCAAATCGTGCAAATAAAATCAGCGGCCACTCCTGTGCTTAGCAAATTAAAATGGCATAACACTGATAATACCTTAATAATCTCTGCAATGGCAACTGTTTTACTGATAGCCTGTCCCATTGCCTTCAAAACAATTTCATTTGTTCGTTGGTCCTGAACATGACGGTAATGGCATGTTAACAAATTTCATGCAATGCAGAATAACATTTATTACATACTTCATAACACTGAGATAAGGCAAACACTTTTAGGCTTTCAGCAGCATTTAAATTTGCGGAGAGAGAAGGAAAAATAAGACACTTTCAGACCGAAACGAGAATGTATAACGAGAAAACAGCACACACAGGCAGTGTAAAGTCACTGACTTTACAAAAGTTTGATAATAAATATAATGTCTAGGTAGAGAACTAGAGAATTCTCTCCCCTTGACTGTCATTGTTTTTTAAACAAGACAATAGCCACATGATTACAATTGATGCAAACATAACTAAATGAATAAATGTCATTTTAGCAGCCTATAAATAGATATAAAAAATGAGCAGTTTCTCTCATAAACTCGATAGGGAGAACCTGACAAGCCAAGATTTAATTCACTTGACCAGCATCTGTGCGACTAAAAAGGTCTACAAGCAGATTAGGTTCACAAGAAGGTTATAGAGAATAATTTATGCAACCTGTGCCCAATCCTAGCATTAGCATACATGAACATGCAATTGATAAGCCACATAGACAGATGAAAACAAACTTGTTTGATGAAAATCTGAGAATGGAATTCCACCACCTGCTTCAAGGCCTAATAATAACTTTCAATACTATTTTTCCACAACTAGTTTTCAGTTCAAAGTTTCTTTTTATCATCTTCACTTCACTTGTGAAAAGAAATACGATGAGTAATGAAACTACTACAAGCTCCCAAAAGAATTCATTACTTTTCCCCAATTTTGAGAGCAGATATAACATCCCAAGGTAACAGCCACAAAAACTGAAAGAAAACATGGTCAATTTGAAATCTTTCCAAACCCCCAGATGAAGATACACTCAAAGCGAGCAAAAAACAACAACTAGGCTCATAGACAATTAGCCACACACATAACCAAAAAAAAAAGTTAGAAGAAGACAGCAATCATACCACTACAAATTCAAATGTAAAATTTTTTCATTACTTGTCCCATTTTTTCGTGCAAAAACAACATCCCAAGAGCCAAAGGACTGAACTAAACATCATCAATTTGAAATCTTTCCAAACCCCCAGATGAAAACACACTCAAAACAAGATTAGCCACAAACATAGCAAAAAAAGAAGTTTCTTTTTATCTTCTTCACCTCAATTGTGAAAAGGAAGAAAGACAAAGCAAACATAACACTACAAACTCAAATACTAAAGAACTTCAATACTTTCCCCCAAATTTTGTAGCAAAAGAAACATCACCACAAACAAACCCCCTTAAACCAAACCAAAACATCATCAAGCTTAAATCTTTCCACACTCCACATGAAAACACACACAAAACAAGCAAAAAAACAACAAAACTAAGCTCATACTCAATTAGCCACAAACATAGCCAAACAAAACTTTCGTTTTATCTTTATTACCTCACTTCTGAAATGCAAAAAAGACAGAGCAACCCATAACACTACAAATTCATACACACAAAAATTTCACCACTTACGCGCAAATTTCAGAACAGAAACAACATCACCACAACGAAACCCCCCACCCCCCCACACACCACACCAAACCAAAACATCATCAATATGAAATCTTTCCACAACCCCACATTAACCAACACACTCAAAACAAGCAAAAAAAACATCAAAACTAGGCTCCTACTCAATTAACCATTACATAGCCAAACAAAACTTTCTTAGAATTTCATTACTTTCCCCTAGATTTCACAAAAAAAAACATCACAACAAGCAAACCCCCCAAAACCAAATCAAAACATCATCAAGATGAAATCTTTCCAGAACCCTACATTAAAAAAACACTCAAAACAAGCAAAAAACCCATCAAAACTAGGCTCATACTCAATTAACAACAAACATAGCCAAACACAACTTTCTAACAATTTCATTACTTTCACCCAAATTTCAGAACAAAAACAACATCACAACAACCAAACCCCCCCAAAACCAAACCAAAACATCATCGAGATGAAATCTTTCCACAACTCCACATTAAAAACACACTCATCCACATTAAAAACACACTCAAAACAAGCAAAAAAAAAAAACATCAAAACTAGGCTCATACTCAATTAACCAAAACATAGCCAAACACAACTTTCTAACAATTTCATTACTTCCACCCAAATTTCAGAACAAAAACAACATCACAACAAACAACCCCCCCAAAACCAAACCAAAACATCATCAAAGATGAAATCTTTTCACAACCCCACATGAAAATACACTCAAAGCAAGCAAACAAACATAAGAAATGAAACAAAATAACACAAAAAGATCATACAAAATTACCTGAAGAAGAGTGGTGGCATAGCTAATGTAATTTCGAATAAGACCTTGTGCAGTGACTCTGATCTCATTCTCCTTAATGGGTTCCTCTGGCCTAGGTTTCTCCACCTTCTGGTACCTATCCATTTTCTTCTTTTCTCAACAAAATCACTCTCACTCTCTCTACACCTTTTTTTCTTTAGGGCCAAATGTTACACTGAAAAAACCAACAGAGAACATGGTGTAGAAATATAGGAATTTCAGAATTTATATATTTAATAATAATCTAAACTCCTGAAAAATAAATTGATTTTTTTCAAAAAAATATTTTAGGCATATTAGTAAATGCACGCATAAAAAGGTTGTACTGCGTGCTTAAAAGTTTTGTACTTTGTTGTGTTTATTTAAGGAAAAAAAATGTTAACCCTAAATTTTTTTCTATTTAATGCGGCTTGACTTAGATTATAAAGAATGCGTGAGAGTAGCTTAATAATAGGCATTAATAAAACATTAAAATAAAAATGTTACTTATTTTTTTAATCGAACGAGACATAAAATATTATAATTTTTTCTGCTCAATTACATATTTAAATTATGTGAGAGTCAAGCGTCTATTCTTTTTTCGTAAAATTTGTAAAGATAGAAGCATTTATGGCTTCTTCCGAAATGGGATTACTATGTGAGCTAATCTGAAGACTTTCTTAGAAGACATTTTCGAACTAGCAAGACTCATAGTTTCTTTCTTTATATAGAATGGGGGAAGATAGGTTTAAGCTTGATTGAAAAGAAGATTTACTGGTTCGAACTCGACTACTAATTTTTCATATCATTGAAACCAAAAACAAACTTGTAAGATTTTGCTAATCGATAATTTTATTAAGACATCTATTCTGACACATATCTAAATTGTAAATAGATTTATTAATTACACATATAAAATGGGAGGATCATTCTCCTATAACTTTTTGTTTCATATCATTTATCTCGTTAGTTAATTATTTGATAAAACAATAAATTAAAACAATATATGTGCAAAAGTGTGCTTACTCAAGACTAAAAAAAGATATTTAAAGAAGAAAAATGTTTACAAAATGTGCAATAAGTACATTTTACTTGAGAAAAAGGAAGATAAATTTACTATCACATAGAGCCATGGTGCAAGGTGTATTTTAATCATGGTGTTACATTTTCATACAATTGAAATTAATTTGAAGGTTTATGATTTATTGAGGTTAATGCGTGAAATTAAAAAATATGATATATTTTAAGTGATTAATCTATTTTTATGATAAATATCTGGAAAAAAAATGAGATTATTGATATAGCAAATGTCATAATTGGCTCTTAGAGAAGGCAATAATATTGTATCAAACATCCTATATATGTACATAATTGATAGAATCACTACGATGGAGATAATCATTTAATGTAATTTATAAATACGATTAAAAAAATTAATAAATATATAAACTTTATTTCTATCTTATAAAGATATTTAAATATGTAATAAATAATAGTATAAATTTTTTATATAAAATAATAACATCTCAATTCTTTAGTTGGTTTGATTATATATGAATGGTTTCTATTAGAAATGTTTTGTTAGGATCCATAATATTTCAATACATTACATCTACAATATATTAGTCTTTATCAATATGACATATTGTGGTGAATAATTCACTCTTAATTATACATTTTGACTTTTAGTACTCACCGACTGATATTATAATGCGCGATCTAAATTTAATTGAAATTTTAATTAAATAAATTTTATAAAACATGATTTAAATTTAATCGAAGCTCCATTCAAATGAGTCTTAATATACGAAATTTAAATTTAATCAAAAAAATCATACTATGCACATCCAAATTTAATCATAGCTCTATAATACAAGTTGGGGTGAGAAACCAAAAATAAAATAAAATATGAAATACAGTAAATTATTGTCCACAATAAAGAATACCGCAAAAAAACTAAAAGAAAATTTAGATAAACCAAAATAACAACCAAAATATAAAAAAAGGACCAAAAAGCAAATTCACCAAAATAATGAACGGTACATAATTGTGTATAGATCCCGCCAAATAAAATTGCAATATAGTCCCTCAAGTCCAATAAATTTTACTTGTTCCACATTGTTCCACGTATCTTTTCAATTTCCATAATTACTCCTTACAATCTTCATCTTCTTCTTCACTCTTCACTGGAACTCAAAAGCTTCACTCAAAAACCTATACATACATACAATTTTGTATATATAGTTATTTTTTGAAGCTTTGATTTCGCTATAATGGATGCAGCAGCTGCACAGTTGGTTTACTGTGGAATTGATCCTCTGTGTCGCTCTTCATTGCCGTATCGTGGTCTGTCTTCTTCGTCTTCATCATCATCGTTGAAGAAATTGAGGATTCGGAGGAAAAACGGAATCGTTAGAGCAATTGCTACTGAACCTAAGCCGTCGGAGTCAAAGGCAACCGGCATTCCTAAACCAGTCAATGGTTCTTCTACAGTAGGTTATGCTAGTTCAATTTTTGAAAATTTTGAATTGTGTTACTAATTTGTGCTGCTGTTTGAAAAAAAGGAATGATTTTTAGAAAAGTTTCTGAATTTTTATTGGTTAAAGGGAAAATAAGCTGCAAATTGGTTTATTTTTTGGTGTGATTAGTATATTGATGTTTGGATGATGGCTGATTGAATTTTTTGTATTTGTGGGTTTGTAGAGAATACAGGATGTATCACAAGAGATCAAGAGAGTGAGGGCGCAAATGGAAGAAAATGAAGACTTAGCTATACTCATGAGGGGGCTTCGAGGTCAAAACCTGAGGGATTCATTGTTTGCTGATGATAACATTAAGCTTCGTCTAGTAGAGGTTCGTTTGGTTGACTTCCTTATCAAAGTATATCAAGAACTTGAGCTTTTGGTTTGGAAAAGTATAGATGGATAATCTGTTGTATCTAAATATCTTTAGCTTTTGGTTGTCATGGGAATAGCTGTCCTTTGGCAAAGGATACATATTTTAATGTTTTGTGTCTTTGAATTATTCAGGTTGATGAGAGCAGTGAGTTCTTGCCCTTAGTTTATGATCCTGCTAGCATTTCTGCATATTGGGGTAAACGACCGCGTGCTGTTGCAACCCGTATAGTCCAGCTAACATCTGTTGCTGGAGGTTTTCTTTCACGTCTTGCCTGGGACTTGATAAATAAAAAGGTTAAAGAGGTAAGCTGCACTGGATGCTTATCCGCTTTTGCTGAAGTTAGTGAATTGCATGTAGAGCTACGTACGATTAACTTTTGAAATCCTATGCTTGTGGGTTCTGTGTGGTTTGCAGTCCCGTAAGATGGACTTTTTTGCCTTTCTGTAGTTTTCCTGATTGAAATAAGGAGCTATTATTTCGAACTAATTACCATTTTCTTCATTTCAAATTCAAGCATTTTAAGCTTCTTTATTGATCTCTTCTCTACAGAGCTTCATTCATTTGATACCTTACAGTAAAATTTCACTATGGTACCTAACAAGAACAAGGATAAGTTGATACTGAGTCAATGGATTTGTGAGGCATGACATTCAATCAAGATGGAAGAGTAATAGGACACAAAGAAGTGACAGAGTAAATGTAATTCAAAATGAATTTTGAGGTTAAAGTTAAACTATTAAATATAGTAATTCAGAATTTTAACATGTCACAATGCCAGGATGTAAAACACTAATTGATGAATTCTTAAAACCAATAGTGCCAAAGTCTATCCCTTTGAAATAGTTACTAAGCAGTAACTATTTTTCGTTTTGTTTGGTCTGCTTGAGTAACCCAGCCACCCCCACCTCACACAAATATAAGAAAACCAGGAACCAAGATGTGTTGTAACCCTGTAACTTTTTGTAGAACTAGTTAATTTCATGAAATTCTATTTGGAAATAGGTCATCTTTATGTCATCAAAGAAAATTCTATGGGTTGGAACAGTTGTGTGGTGAACATTGAGATAGGGCTTTGATGCATGCATTTATTAAGATATACGCATATACTACACGTCTTTAATTATTTCTTCAACCCATAACTATTGATCTTTTCCATCATTAGAATGAGGTTGCTCGAGCAATTGAGTTGAGGGAGATTGTAACATCACTGGGTCCAGCATACATAAAGCTAGGGCAAGCTTTAAGCATCCGGCCAGATATACTATCACCTGCTGCGATGGTTGAGCTGCAGAAGCTTTGTGATAAGGTCAGATTAGAGTCAGCAGCATGACTTATATCTTGAAGTTTAACTTTTATTTTCAGGAAACTATTATATCTACAAACTTAAACCATACTATTTGTTTTAGTTTAATTACATTGATACCTGAATAGTGGATTCCGAAAAATTCTCTTGTTGCTTTTCCATAATCAAATAATTGTCTCGATGAGCTCCAATTCATTCTAATGCCATCTACCTTTCTATGTGATTGTCCTTTGATTGGAGACTGACAATCTTTGTAGTGTACTGTATTGGAGATTGACGAACTACTTTGTTAAAACGTCTTTCTTCGGCTAACCCTTTTCGCTATTATCTGGAATAAACCATAACAATGGCAGTTGTTATTTGGTGGGAAGTCTTTCTGATTTTCTGGATGAAATATAATGTCTATCCTTGTCACATAATGACAATGGAAAAGCCTGCTTCTGAAACCATTTTAATAATAAATTGTTTCTGTAAAATTAAGACATTGCTTTCATGTGAGAAGAATCGGTGAATCTCTTTACCTAGTAATGTTCATATCATAAAGCATCTGAGGCATTGACAGGTTCATTCTACGATCGTGAGAACTCTTAGAGCCCTTTTGAAGAGATGAGGCTCTTTTTGCTATATGGAATGGAATACATTTAGAACATCCTTGCTATGTCAGAACAGTAGAAACATTAGGAACTAGGTGCACGTCATGGGGTTAAGAGCTGCATGCGAAATTAGACATAATATGAAAGGGTGAAAGCTGGAATATTGTGTAAGCTATCTACAATCTTTACTGTTGGCAACATGTTACACTAATTAATCTAAACAGACTACAATCCTTACTATTGGAAACATGTTGCACTAATCAATATAAACAGAATGATGGATTTACCATGATTATTCTTGTGTACAGCCTGCACTAGAGACCTTGTGACTAGTTGTGCCCAAGTAATTTTCTTTTGGGGAAGGGGCTAAGATTGACAATGGTATAGTTGTGTAATCGAAAAAAAACTCCTTACTGTTGCTTTCTGAACTTTTAGAATTTCATGATTGCTTCAGGTTCCATCATTTCCAGATGATGTTGCTATGGCCCTTATAGAGGAGGAATTGGGAGAACCGTGGTCTAACATCTATTCTGAGCTTTCTCCGTCCCCAATTGCTGCTGGTAATCTTTCTTACCATCTCTAGAAATCTCTTTTTGAATGATATGCTGTGAGTTATTTCTTCACTTTCACTATGTATTTCCTTAACCATTCTCTTTTTGTTGGGTTAACTTATTAGAGTGCTTCTTTTTGCACATTTTTCTTCTGTAAAATATAATTTTTTTTAGCTAATTTCTAAAGAACCTTTTTCTTCATCATGGCATTGGCAGCATCCCTTGGGCAGGTTTATAAGGGCCGACTGAAGGAGAATGGAGACTTGGTTGCTGTTAAAGTACAGAGGCCCTTTGTCCTTGAGACAGTGACAGTTGATCTATTCATCATACGGAACTTGGGGCTAGTTCTTCGCAAGTTTCCGCAGGTATTGATTGCTCAGTTATATTTCCACATTATTTTCCAATCTCTGTTAGTCTGGAAAAAATAATGCATGTTGCTTCTGCCTTTAAGATTTCCATTGATGTGGTTGGATTGGTTGATGAATGGGCTGCCCGGTTCTTCGAAGAACTTGACTATGTGAATGAAGGAGAAAATGGAACAGTTTTTGCTGAGATGATGAAAAAAGACCTTCCTCAGGTATCAGCGATTCTGACGTCTACCTCTCACCTCTTCTAAAACCCGGAAATGATTAGAACTAAATAAAGCAAGAAAGTGCACTCCCCCCTTTTTCCCCCAACTTCCAACCTCTCCATGTTATAAGAAAAAGGAATTTTGTCTGTAACCAGCAGCGCCTTGTTTTAAAATAGGAGAAACCCTCCCTAGGGGGTGTGCTCCAATTTAGACAAGGACATAGAGATTTTGTTGCTGCAAGTTTATTTTCTTAAAAGCTGGCTGCGATAGGCTAATCTAGATATGTAATTCTCTACCTTAGTTATTAATGAAATTGTTTGATTCCAAAAAGGAAAAAGCAATGTGCAATTTATTACCTATTTAGGAAAAGAGGATAAGGAGAAGTCTGTGAACTTACTCACAGAAGAGTACATATATGCCTATATTCTTATAGATGTATTAAAAGTACAGATTTCTTAAACCAGAAAGTATGATGCTTGTCGTCTCTAACAGTATTGTGATCTGTCTTGGCAAACCTTTTTCAGGTTGTTGTCCCTAAGACATATAGCAAGTATACTTCAAGGAAGGTTCTTACAACAGGATGGATTGATGGAGAGAAGCTATCACAAAGCACCGCAAGTGATGTAGGTGATTTGGTAAATGTTGGAGTCATATGCTACCTTAAGCAGGTGCTATGCTTAAACTCTTCACAATTTTGATGTATATTAATTAAGCTTTTAGACTCTTATCTTGTTAACATTATTAAGATCTCGTTTTCTTTATTTTTTGTTTTATACTGCCTTATTCTTTAACTCCACATTAATCTATGTGGTATTTTTGCTATGGATATCCTCCTGACAATTAAAATTTGTTCTCCATCTTATATTTTGTCTTTTTGGTATACAGTTGCTTGACACTGGTTTCTTCCATGCGGATCCACATCCAGGGAACTTAATACGTACGCCAGATGGAAAGCTAGCTGTACTTGACTTTGGTAAGAAGCTTTCATTTGGTTTCCTCTTTTCCTAATAATTTGTGGAATAGTTCATGAAAGTAACTCTATGGAGAGAATTGTTTCTGATGAAGAACTATATCGACAAACTACCTTCAGTTTACTTTGAACATAATTTGATTTGGCCTTTAAGGTGCTTATTTCCTACTCCCTCCGTCCGGAATTGTTTGTCATGTTGCGTTTTTCGAAAGTCAATTTAACTAATTTTCAAAGTTAAATTAGATCATATTAATTCGATATTCTGAACAAAAAAAAATAGATATTCTAAAGCTATATGAAAAGAACTATAAATTGCAATTTTTTGCATATTAATATGATGAAAATTACATCTTGAAATGTTAGTCAAAGTTTTTATAGTTTGACTCTAAAAATAGAAACCATGACAAGCAATTCCGGACAGAGGGAGTATTTTCTTTTGTAATTGATCAGTTTGTTACTCTTTCCTTGCTGTAAGTTGACTCGTCTTATTTTGCTTTGACAGGCTTGGTTACAAAATTAACAGATGATCAGAAATATGGTATGATCGAAGCCATAGCTCACCTTATTCATCGAGATTATGGTGCCATAGTCAAGGACTTTGTGAAATTAGGTTTCATTCCCGATGGGGTCAATTTGCAACCCATTTTGCCTGTACTTGCCAAGGTTTTTGACCAGGCACTTGAAGGTGGGGGAGCAAAAAATCTTAACTTTCAGGAGCTGGCATCAGATTTGGCACAAATAACATTTGATTATCCATTTAGAATACCACCCTATTTTGCTTTAATAATTCGAGCAATAGGCGTGCTGGAGGGGATTGCACTGGTGGGGAACTCTGATTTTGCCATAGTGGATGAAGCTTACCCATATATAGCACAGGTACAGTCATACGGTACCACAGTTCATTTGTTCTCTATATCTACATTTACATGGATCCGAATTGCTATAATTGCGTGAAACAACAATTGCCGTCTCTGTGAGGGTACTTTGATGATCTATGTGATAACAATAGCAGATAGCGTTGTTTCACACTTACAATCTACTAACCTGGGAGACTATATATGGTTGTGCATTTGAGTCTTACTTGGGAGGCTGTCGAACACCATTGAGACATGTCTTTAACCAATTTATACATTTCCTACTTAATGCAAAATAGTTCAAATTTGAATTGTAGAGCTTGTTTAAGTCTCTGGTACCAACATGAATAGGACACACTTCCCAATATTTTACTCCTTTGGTTTTATATTAATTCGGCATGATCCTCTTTGGTCCATAATAAGAATTGGTTAGTTTCATTGATCAGAAAAAATTTACCCATTATTAATATATGGCATAAAGTTATACATGGGACCAAAATCAAAACTTCTCATGATAGTTTCCTTTTTTTGTTCTCATGGTGTAGTAGCATGGAACTCTGTGGTCTATCTACTGCACCACTTGTGATAAATGACATTCCTGTGACTCATCTGAAAGCTTTAACTTCAGAGGGGATTTTGTTCATTGATTTTGTTCTGCAAAACTTAGTTTGTCCATTGTTGTCCTTCAGGTGTCACTTTTAGATAATTTAAATTCTCATTGTTTACACTATGTGCGTTTTCTTTTCTCAGAGACTGCTGACAGATGAATCTCCGCGGTTACGGAGTGCTTTACGTTACACAATATATGGGAAATCTGGTGTTTTTGATGCTGAAAGATTCATAGATGTTATGCAAGCATTTGAGAATTTTATAACTGCAGCTAAGAGTGGAGGTGGGGAGAGTTTGAATGGGAGAATGGCAGAGCTTGGCATTCTGCAGAGCCAAACAAATAGCATAATTCCTTTTCCCTCAAGTGCTTACCAAACAGAGCAGCCAATTCAAACCAGAGCAGCATTAGCATTTCTGCTCTCTGATAAAGGGAATTTTTTCCGTGAATTCCTTTTGGATGAGGTATGTGTACAGATTTGGGAACAGTCACTATTATATTATCCTTGACACATGCTGTTCTTTCTAGTTTTATACTTTATTCATATTATATCATACTCCTAACCCATTTCTAGTGTCCTAGTTTGACTATGCATGGGTGCACTGCTTTTAGGGCAATGGTCAAAGTTTTGTCGTAGTATTTAATTTATAGTGAATCCACAACTAGAGATAAAATTTTCTTTTAGGATTTTGACACTGTTTTGCATAAAGTGAGTCCCGTGAACATTTTTTAGGAAAAAGTACTGAACAGTAAAAACACACTAGTATTGAACAGTATGTGGAAATTTTTTTACTTTCAGTTGAGTCAGAACATCTTCTGGTTAGATAAGTATAGATCGTGATTGTCGAAGTTTGTGCTTTGCAAATGGACTTCAAATGATCATTGCCTTCTTGTAATGTCTGGTAGATGTACTTGCTTTCTTGTCCTTTATGCCTGAGCCATTGTAAACTAAATATATTGCTAGTCTGCTTTTCATAGAACATTTGATCTCATTCTCTCTTCTCACACACACAATATGGAACCACTATTAGAAACCTCAGCTATCACAAGATTTTAAGTATGTGCTTTATCCATTTGTCATACTTACTGGACCATACATGTGGCATTTCAATAACATAATTCTCTTCTTAATGCAAGCAGATAGTGAAGGGCATTGATGCATTAACAAGGGAGCAGTTGGTTCAAATAATGGCATACCTTGGAATTGGAAATGCAATTCCAGTATTCAGTATGGTTCCTGCTGCTTTTGTACCTATTAGACCGGCTGCACTTGTACCATATGTGACCGAGGAGGACAAAATCATATTGAACAATGTTCAAAAAATCATCCAATTCTTAGCTGCTGGGACTGCATCTAACCAGGTATCCCAATTTTATATTATGGCAAGTTTATCTCAGAGGAGATTAAAGTACTTCACTTTGCACACAGCAAAAGAGAAGTGGTTGCTCCTCTGTTGCCTCTGCTCGCAAAGAAATTGAAATTGCTCTTGCGCTAGTACGCTTAGTTAAACATCAAATCGTATTACCAATGTCTCGTTTCTAGGTTGTGTTGTTACTCCTCTGAGTGTGTGCTAGAGTCAACATCTCATGGACACATTATCGGTAAAAATAACTGTAGGCTGTCACAGTATTTCACAAACAGGTTAAAGAAAAGTACATAGGAGTAATAATCTATATCTTAAAACACTTGCATGATTTTGTAAAATATACTCTTTTAAATGTCTGAATTCGAAACACAAAGGGGACTTAGATTCTGAGTAATTTGCCCGAAAATAGCTCAAGTAAACTAAAGTGCATTTTCATTTTGCTATTCAAACACATTATAACTAAGTTTCATCCGCAGGGTTTGGATGGAGCAAGTGTCCCTAGAGTGATCCAGGAGCTTCTTCCAGTGCTTCCAGGCCTCTCCGCTAAGGTTCTTCCTGAGATTCTTAGTCGACTTACTTCTCGTGTGATGGCACGCTTGATTCGAGATGCACTGTTGTAATTCCAATCCTTCTAATCTTACAGTTTCCTCTTCTTGAATTGTGCATATATCATTTTCACAAACTTGAGGAGTGTGTAGAAATAGAAAAAGTATATTTATTGTATCCTCATATGAGGTTTTACCAATTAATACTGACCAGTATAGTTTCTGTACTCTTATCAGAACAAATGTAAACTTCCATATATCAAAAAGAAATATGATACTAACAGCAATTCCCTTACATTTGTTCTACTTCTCTGGATCCACATATTGCAAGAAAATTATTTATTCATATCGATGAACAGAAGTTCTAAGACATTTCTACCAAGAGTATCATTGGGAAAATCCAACAGTTTTACATCATGTGAAAAGAGGAAGCATCTGGTTGCCAGAGGCATATGAAATGATCTTCCTTTTAAGTGGAGAAATGTATTGTGCCCCATTGAATGCAAGAGCCCTGAGTACATTTATTGGCATGAAGTCGATAGAATATGCCTTCTGAAAACCATCTAGGATTGCCATCATTGTAATGTTTGCAGCTTTCCTCTCTGATTCATATCTCTGTAAAAGAGTTATCTGCACAGAATAAGATTTACCATTATATCCTGTAACTGAGAGGTAAAACGAGCAAGCAGTGTCGTAAAGGATACCCAAAAATTGTAAGCCCAATGGCAATAATAACCATCAATGTAAGACATTGATTCTAGATTATACCAGAATAGAGAAGCTTCATGTCTTTGCCATTTTTCTGTCTATATCTACAGGGAAACAAAGGATTAGGAACATACCTCCCCAATGTCAGATCCGACTGCAACGCCTTCAGCAATAACTTTAGAAAGACACAGTGCATCTGCAAATCCCATATTAACTCCTTGGCCAGCCAGCGGATGAACTGTGTGTGCTGCATCACCAATGAGGACTAAACGTTTTGATGCATAGCTATTAGCATGCATTAAAGATAAAGGGAAGGCCATTCTATGAGAGGCTAGCTTCGTAACTTTTGGTGGAACTTCAAAGCCCTCATGTGTTGATGATGTGCTGTCAGCTTTGAGCCAAGAAAATACATTTCCACCCTCAAATGATTTCGACCGTGGTTGAGGACCATATCCATCGTCCAGTGCGTGGTTCACTGCTTGTACAAAGTCGTCCTCCGACATTGAACTCCGGTCAACAGCTTCCTTGGGGTCCATTGACCAGACAATATTGCTGAATTTTTCACCAATGGGCAGAAGTGCAATTGGTCCATTAGGAAGAAATCTTTGCCAAGCACAGAAGTTCTCTACTGCATGTTCTACTGTACAGATGATTGCGCTTTGTGAGTACTTCCATCCAGTTGTTTGTATTCTTGCCAGCTCCCTAACACTTGATTTTGACCCATCAGCTCCAACCTGTTACATGTTATCTAACTCATCATTTGTATTCAAGAATCCTTCAGAACATTCACATTTGGTGAAACATGAAACAAGTTGAGTTTACCACTAACTTCGCATACATGCTGTTTCCATTATCCAGTTCCAACTTTGCTGAACTTCCACTAGCAGATGATGATGTGCCACTGGAGCTCGTCACTGATGACATTGCAGGAAAGGTTATTGAACTTAACCTGGATGAGTGTATTGTCTTTTGAAAATCTGTATTCTGTCCAAATTATCACCTCCAGTCAAACATATCACCAGGCAATCATTGACATAAATCAAAATGAGGAATTTCAGGAGTTCCAATTGAATACTAATAAGCACAAATCAAAACTAGAAACAAAAAGATTTAGCTTTCCCTGTTACGCCAATCAATTACTCAGTAGAACTAGAAACAAAAAGTTTTATGATCTTAAGAACATTTGACTGCTCACCCTCAGTAATCGTTTTGTCCGCTCTTTTCATTGATTGTACAGCTTTCTCTAAACAAGGTTACAATAGAAAATTACATGTAAAGCAAAAGGTGTTGATCAGACACTGAAACATCATCACCACTAGCACGTCCTTCATTGATTGTACAGCTTTCTCTAAACAAGGTTACAATAGAAAATTACATCTAAAAGCAAAAGGTGTTGATCAGACACTGAAACATCATCACCACTAACACGTCCTTGAAACAGTTCGCTTCATTTTAGTTTTATGACTGATGAAGTAATTACTGTTCACCCAAATATGAAGTAATTACTGTTCACCCAAATGGGTTAAATTCTGTATACTGAGATAAAGAGCATAAGCAAGAACATGGCTCTCCACAAGAAGCAAGGAAGCATGGAATACAAAGATAGGGAGCCCGATCCTTGAAATAGATTTGTAGCAAGCTTCTTAACAACAACAACAACGCCAGCTATGCTTCAATCCCAAGCTAGTTGAGTTGGTTATATAAATCCTCACTGTCCATTTTACTCTATTTGAGGGCATGTCATTTCAATTCTTCAAAAGATTAGGTTCTCTCACACTAAAAGTTCTCTATAGTTTCGACTGACATACAAATCTCCTTTTTTAAAATAAGTAATTACCGACAGATAAGTCTCTATCAAGATTAGAAGGATGACTAGCGAACATTAGACCTAATGTAAGCTTCCTCAGTCTTAGTCCCAGCTACTTGGTATCACCTCTGGATCTTTTTCTTTCCTAGTGTTCTATTTTTGTTGCTAAGCCTATATGTACTGCAAGATATTGTAGCAAACTGCTTACAAGTAGATTGTTTTTTTTTTGAGGTTGGGTAACTTTATATTCTCCATAACTAGGGAGTCAACATGCTTTTAACTGCATAATTAAAGTCGGTCATATGCTCAAATACCTGTATGCATGATAGCAGGGATTTGTGTAGCACCTTATTCTCCACCACGCACCTAAAGACAAAAATCAAGCATCATCTGGTGAGAGAACATCATGACTATGAAAGCAAGTTGTTACCTCAATAAAAGGAATTCTTACCCGAGAACATCTGCATCAACATCTCTTGCATTGTACCTTGTATATCCCAGACCAGTATAATCCCAAACCTATAAAGAAATAAATTGCTAATGGGTCAAAAGTGAAATTTTTCCACGATTGGATCCCATAAAAATGAGGTCATTTGGATGTCATGATGCAATTTGTATCAAGGTAACTTAGCAATTACAAGAATGTATAGTCCTATCAAAGACAAGTGACAATTATCACAAGAAACAGCTTTCCTGATATTTTCTTGATAAATATATGAGAAGAAGAAATTGTTGGCAACAATGTTTTTCCAATCTTCTATTTCTGAAAACTAGGATATCTTGATGGTTGGAAGTGCATAGGCAGCTGAGAAGTCAAGCATTGCAAGTTTAACAGGTTTAGCTAAGATGTGCTTTGCCAGTTACCTTTTAAGTCTCTCTTAGTTAGAAGCTATTGGTGTTACCATCTGCTGCCATTAACATGACAAGGATGAGTAGAGACACAGATACTGAAATTCTGAAACAAACAAAGACAACCATTTCCTTGACATATATTTGGAACACAGATCCATACTCCACTTTCCCCTAATTTTTATTGGAGAGGGGCTGGAGAATAGGTATACTACTCTTGGTCACTGATAAATCCTTTTAGAGACCCTTCAGTCCCATGTTTTTCTTGAAACTGTTAACTTAAAAAAACAAGATGTCTAAAGGCTAAGTCCCATTGCACAGAACTATGTCTCCTTCATGATCAAACTCTCTTCCTCGCCAGGAAGGAGTTCCTTTCTTCTACATTGCTAAAGGATATATATCACTACTGAACAGTAAACATAAATACTAAAAATCTTGACTTGCCATAATTTGAGAAAGCAGTCACTGAAGCTTGTGCACATTGAAGAATTTGCTACTCGGTTCACATTGATTGAAATTTATTTGGCAAAAGGTAAGATGTCTAAAAGCACGTTTCAAGTATGGCAAAGACATTCTCCTTGTGCTTTCATAAATTTCTGATATACAAGCATCCTTGGACATAAATTACTGTACCCCAAAAAGAAGAATAGGAACACATAATATGGAATAACTATAGTTAGAGTTTGCAATGAATTAAACCTTTTCTAGACGCACATGATAAAGACAATGACTATAGAGAGTTAAACTGGGCATATCCCATTAAACTAATTTTTTTTTAACAAAGTCCCCAAATATTGGCATTTATAGTAATTATATTCTCAATAGAGGATGGGCTTAAATTACTCCATAAGAAAACTTACAACAATGAAAATGTTAGTAGCAAAATTACCTGCATTTTATCGAAGTAGGCATGACGGCTCTGCTGAACAAATTCCCATGCACCCATATCTGTAAACCAAATGTTTTTCTCATGATAATCTCACATGCTTTCCATTAACAGGTGATGATGTTTTCAGCAAATCAAACATGTTCAAGCAGAACGTAACAAGTACTGGTACACGTACAGAATACGTCATATAATGTCCTTTTGATTCAAAAAGTAATAAACTTTCAACAGGTCTTTCATCTTTTTCTGACTGCTTTTCAATGGCTTTACCCATACAATGATTTTATCATACATTTTCAGCATAGGAAAAAAGAAACTTCTATTTAGATGCAACCAGTTAAGAAATGGCAGGGAACACAGATCAAACCATTATCAGTAAGACAGAAAACTCTACAGAAATATCAGAAAATAGAATGATAAGTTTGAGGATACCTTTGAAGAAAGAAATGGTGGCAGGTGTGACTGTACTGACCCTTGGATCTGGGGGGTCCTCTTTCTTGATGTGAAAGTTATTTATCAAAGCAGGATTACTGTCAATGATGGCAACAGTTAGTTGCTTTGTCAATGGCATAGTTGCTGCATAATAGTCAACAAGTTAGAAGAAGAGTTGTCATGTTGTTGACGAGTTTAATTTGGTAAGTATATATTCAAATGATGCACATACAATAGTGTCCATCTTTTACCCCTTCTGGACTGCTGTATCAAGAGGGGTGATAAGCTCTTATAAACTAGTATTCAACTATTTTCCAAAAGGCAGATTATCGTTGCAGGTAAGCTTTTCAAGGAAAAATAGAGTACCAAGTGCAAATCGAGCAGATGACTGAAATTTCTAACAAAAAAATATTCTAAACCATCTTAGTTTCAACTAGTAATTTAGAGGACATCTTAAACACTGTTCAAGCATCAAAATTCAAATTTAAGAAGGTTAAACAAAACATATTTACCTAAGGAGCACGCTAGAGCCATCCCAACCATACCACCTCCAACAATAGCAATATCATATTGTGGTATGTCATCTGTTAATCCAGGCTTTTCCAAAGG